GCCTGGTGCCTCCGGAGGGCACTTGGAGGAGGAGCCCTGAAGGTCAGGCCTGGGCATGGCAAGCTCTCCCCAACCCTCTCCGTCCCTGCACACGGCCCACTGTGTCTGTGACAACAGGTTTTGCTCACTCCATGGAGAAGGAGGTGCTTGTGGACTCTCCATGGTGGTGGTCGGGAGTGCAGAGGTCTGTCTGGACTGGGCAGGGCTCCTCTCACACACACTTCCATACTTTCTGCGTGCGTGTGCAAGTCGTGTTTACAGCACACTGAGTACTTTGGGAGTCCTGGGAATGGTGCCCAGCCCCCAGCCTACAGGGGTAGCCAAGGTGATAGAAGGGTCATTGGGTTCTTGAATGCCCCACCCTGCAGGAGCCTGTCCAAGGTTCTCCCCTGCCCACTTCCTGTGACCTTTGCACTGAGGGGGTTGGGGTAGGAGCACGGCTCTGCATTCTTGGGACTTGGGGGTTTAGCACTCTGGCCCTGCCCTTTCTTTCATGGAGGCCTTCAGCCCACCCCATGCCACCTCAGGACACATTCAGGTCCCTGGCACCTAGCTGAGGACATGGCTTCCACAGCCTCCCGCCCTCCCATTCTTTCCAGTGGTCTTGAGCAGCTGGATCCCCCATTGTGTGGCAGGGGGTGGCCCCACATGCCCCACTCCTGACCCTGGCAGTGATCCTGGAGGAGGGCATTGTCCTCAGCTTCTCCCCAAAGTCCCTTGCTTCCTGACCAGTCCTGGCCTGCTTCCCCTCTGGCTTTGTCCTCCACCCTTTCCCACTGGCCTGAAGAGGACTGTTGCGGGGTGCTCCCTCTCGGCTGCAGTAGGCCACAGTTGAGCTTTCCCAGGAGGTGAGGGAGGCATCGCTTACGCCCCTGGACTTGTGGGACCCCTGGGCTGCATTGGTCTCTATGGGTCTGGATATGGCCAAGTGGGTGAAGGCAGAGGCTAGCCAGAGTTGAGCCTCTCTGCTTTCCCTCCTTCCTGGGCTGAGTGCTATGCCAGGCCAGGCCCAGTGACTCATGGATCGGGACAGGCAGTTGGGCAATACCAGGCCCTGGCTGTCTGCCCTCTAGGGGTGGTGGCCTGCCTCTCTCCCCAGGGGCAGGTGGCGAAAGCCTCAACTGTGGGCCAGTCCCCATGACGGACACTGGGAATCCTCAAGGGCAGATAGGGATGCCATGAGTCTGGTAGGGAACCCTGGAGGGTGTGCTAAGTCCAAGAATGCAGGCCCCTGACCCTTGGCCCTGCTGCCCCAGGTGAGGCTGGTGCAAACATCATCGAGGTATCTAAGGAGGCCCGGAAGCGGTTCCTGGGCCCCCTGCACCCCTCCTTCAACCTGGTGAAGACCATCCGCGGCTGTCTGCTGAAGACCCTGCCTGCTGACTGCCATGAGCATGCCAGTGGGCGCCTGGGCATCTCCCTGACTCGAGTCTCAGATGGCAAGAACGTCATCATATCCCACTTTAGCTCCAAGGAAGAGCTTATCCAGGTGGGCCCTGGTAGGAACGCACTGGGGGTGCTATATGGGTCTGAGGCCCCTGCTTATAGGCCCCTCTGTCCCTGCCCCCAGGCCAACGTCTGCAGCACCTTCATCCCAGTGTACTGCGGCCTCATCCCTCCCTCCCTCCAGGGTGTGGTAAGGATCCCCTGGTCACTTTTCCTGAGTGACAAAGGTTTGCTACTGGGGCAGGGGGCATCTGTGCAGCCCTTCACTCCTGCCTGTTGCCTCACTTCCCCTGGAGTTACTCAGCAGCCAGGCCAACCCCGAGGAGATGTGCACTTCCTTCGGCTGGCCCCACCTCCTGGCTGTTGGGCCACCTGCTCCTTGGCCAGGCGGCCAGTGCCCAGTGTGCGAAAGCCCAGATGAAACAGCCAGCTTGCCCGCAGGCCTCTTACCGTGTGCCCGTGTTCCTGCACAGCGCTATGTGGATGGCGGCATCTCGGACAACCTGCCCCTCTATGAACTCAGGAACACCATCACAGTGTCCCCCTTCTCGGGCGAGAGCGACATCTGCCCGCAGGACAGCTCCACCAACATCCATGAGCTCCGGGTTACCAACACGAGCATCCAGTTCAACCTGCGCAACCTCTACCGCCTCTCCAAGGCCCTGTTCCCCCCGGAGCCCATGGTGAGCCGTGGCGCGGGGTCTGAGGCACTGGGCAGTGGGGGCGGTGCGGGGACGTCGGGACTCCGGGGCCAGGACAGGGCACGTCTGGCCCCCGCTCCAGTTTCTCATTCCTCGCCTCAGGTGCTGCGAGAGATGTGCAAGCAGGGCTACCGTGACGGCCTACGCTTCCTGCGGCGGAACGGTGCGCGGGCGCGGGGGCGGGGCCGGCACTGCTGCCCACTGCTGGCCGGCGCGCTAACCGCATATCCGGGCGCCCCTTGCAGGCCTCCTGAACCAGCCCAACCCGTTGCTCGCACTGCCCGCCGGCCACCCCGATGCCCCTGAGGACGAGGACGCCGAGGCAGACCCACAGAGGGCCCGCGTGGAGGGCCACTTGCAGCTGCCCCGGGAGGATCACATCCTGGAGCATCTGCCTGCACGGCTTAACGAGGGTGCGTGCGACGGCGTGTGAGGGGCCTCCTGGCTGGCGGGGGAACAGAGGTGCAGGGTGGTCCTGGGCTCTGCATCCTTGACCTTGACCGGCCAACAACTTCCTTCCTGCCCCTCACCCCCCAGCCCTGCTGGAGGCCTGTGTGGAGCCGAAGGACCTGCTGACCACTCTCTCCAACATGCTGCCCGTGCGTCTGGCCACGGCCATGATGGTGCCCTACACTCTGCCGCTGGAGAGTGCCATGTCCTTCACCATCCGGTGCGGGCTGTGGGTGGGGACCGAACTTTGGGATTACTAACGAGTGGTGGGCACCCCGGGGAGGAAGCTGCTGGTGGGGGCCGTGGAGAAGCTGTGCCAGGGGTCCCAGAAGCCAGGACATAGGTGGGTGGAGTGAGCGTGCACAAGTGTGACATCCCGGCCGCAGTCCCTGAGGGCCATCCATGCCTTCCACCCTCGCCCAGCTTGCTGGAGTGGCTGCCTGACGTTCCCGAGGACATCCGGTGGATGAAGGAGCAGACAGGCAGCCTCTGCCAGTACCTGCTGCTGCGGGCCAGGAGGAAGCTGGGCGACCACCTGCCTTCCAGGTGAGCCCCCAACTTCCCTGCCCTCCTGGGGCCACAGCCTCCCTGGGCCCCACTGAAGCTCTCCCTCCTTGGGTCCCTCTTCACCTCCAGGCTATCGGAGCAGGTGGAGCTGCGTCGTGCCCGGTCGCTGCCCTCTGTGCCACTGTCATGTGCCTCCTACAGTGAGGCACTGCCCAGATGGCTGCCAAACAGCCTCTCGCTAGGGGACGTGCTGGCCAAGTGGGAGGAGTGCCAGCGCCAGCTGCTGCTGGGTCTCTTCTGCACCAACGTGGCCTTCCCGCCGGATGCCCTCCGCATGCACACCTCTGCCAGTCCTGCCCCTGAGCACCCGCAGCACCCACCTGGCATGCCCCCTTGCTGAGTGCCCTTGCTCCAGCCTTCCCCAGCACTCCTGGGTTCCGGTGCTGAGGGCCAGGCGCCCTAGCTTCCCTGCCCCGTGTCCTGGGGTCGGTTGGGAACCCCATCCCTGATCCCTCTCCACTCTCCCCATGGAGCAGGGAGATGGGGGCCCCTCACAGCTTTGAGAAGGGAGCTTTGCTGTCAGCTTCTTCCACCAACCACTCATTTACTGCATTGAGTAGGGAGGGGGACGGGTACATCTCCCCTCGCAGGCCGGCCGTAGAGGGCCGGTCACCTGCACCTTAATCTCCCCTCCCAGCTTCCCCGCCAGGGCAGGGGAGAGCAGAGGCCTGGTGAGGGCGCCTGGGGGCTCCAGGATGTGTGACCACTGCCTGATGCCCCCAGCGTCAGTGCAGTATTACTCGTGAGAACTTTGCACCTGCTCCTCTCCCTGCAATTCATGTTTTGCTAAAAAGTTTGTGAAAATATTTATTTTTGCCAAAGCAGATGTAATAAATGCTACCACTCAGTGCCTGCCTCCTTCACTTGTATGTGACTACCTGTCCCCATCCCCTCCAGCCGACCAATGTCTACATCTCTCCAGGTCTTCCAGGCGTCCCATTTGTCTTGAGCCTGACATTTGGGGTGTGCTAATGGGCCTGGGAGTGAGACCCATACATTTGTTCCCTACTTTACCCTGAGGCCTGCTGGCTGACCCTTGGGTGCAGTTTTCCAAGGACCAGTGGAAGTGTTTGGGACCAAGATCCTTGCTAAATAAAAACTCAATGTTTACAAAAGGTGGTGTCTGCACCTCCACTCCATGGTGACATGGGGGTGTGGGGCTGATTTCAGGGTTGGCCTGCTGTGGAGGGTGAGGTCCCAAGCCAGGCAGTGGGACCCAGGAGGGTCAGTGTCCACTCCACTTTGGGCCCATGGCCCAAGGCTCTGTACCAGGTGTGGCCTCCCCTTGTCATTGCAAACCTCACTGGCCAGGTGCCCACACCTGTTCCCCTGCCCCCACCCTCCATACACAGGAGAGGTCTGGAATATTAGGGGAGGTGAGGTCTGAGCTGAAGGGGGCCGGGTTTTGTTCAGGGAGAGACATAGTTTCCTGAAAGCATTCTCCACCCTGGGCAGTCAGGGGATCAGCCAGCCCTCCTCGGTGAGCAAAAGAAGTCGCAGGAGCAGGGTGCTGGAGCAGAGCCCAGCATTTGCTGGCTGTCCAGAGCTCCTGGTCTTGCCTGGCTCAGCCCCCACCTGTCCCCTCCTCCCCTACCATGGGGAAGCTGAGGTGGAGGTGGCAGCCCCTAGCCAACAATAACTGCAGTGGGACTGCAGGACTGGGAGAGCCGGCTGGGCAGGTGCAGGTGCCAGGGGCCGGCCCCCCATCTCAAGGTCCTGTCCTATAGGCTCAACCTGGTCTGGTTCTGCAGGATCCCAGGCCCCTTAAGAAGCAGAGGACCCCAGCACCCCAGCACTGCCAGGGCTGCACGGTGAGGCAAGCCCCTCCAGGTGGGTGAACCCAGGCTGGGGCTGGGGGAGGGCTACCCTCTGGAAAGGATGGGGCTTTCTACCTAAGCAGGAAGGCCACACGCAGCCCCACCCAGCTGCTGCTCCCAGCCCTCCCCCACTGGGAACCCAAAGCAGGGCCGTGCCCCAAAGGGAGTCCTTGTGTGTGTGTGTGGGGGGGGGTGTTGGGGCGGCAACCTTCTGCCCCCACTCACACATGCACAGGTATTTATGCTGCTGACTTAAGTACCATTTTCGAGTGTACTACATGTTTATTGTCTAAAAATGGGAAAAACCACCATTGGGAGAGTATAGGGAAGAAAAAGTCACCCCACTCCTAAAGATACACGAAAACTATTTGGGTCTATTTCCTGCCTGGCTTTTTCCTACACACACTTCTTGGCACCTTCAATCAGGATCCTCAGGACGAACCCCTCCTTGTCTTGGTCCTCAGGAAGGGTACTAGGTCCCCGCTACCTCCGCACCACTGTGCGCTTTGGGATCTGCCGGGGTCGGGGGCTTAGGCAGGGCCGGGCAGGGTGTGCAGCGACAGCCCGGCCGCCCGAGCGCCGAGAGGCGGGGACACAGCGACAGCAGCGGCGGTGGCTCCGCCCGGGGCCGGCCCACGCTGGGGTCCCGGTGCCTGCAGGGCAGCAGGAGCCGCTCCGGACCCGGGCCCCGCGCGCCGCCTTCTCCCGGGAGGAACGGCCCGGGAGCGAAGCAGGCGCGACGGCACGGCGGCCAGGTAGGCGCCTCTCAGGTCCTTCCGCCCCTCCCGGCCGCTGCAGGGCGCACCTACCGCTGCGCGTCGCAGGCGGGAACGCCGGTGGCCCTGGGCGCGCTTAGAGGCGGCGGCCCGCGGCCCTGTCTCCCGCTTCCCGCCGCCCGCTCCCCGGCGGCCGCGGCGTAGCTTCCGGCTGGGCTGACGTCTGATCCCGCGGAGTCGCGGGCCGTCGGGGGGCGGCACACCCGCCGGGTGAAGTGACCGCGTGAGGATGACTCTGGCCCCGGTTCCCCTTCTTGGAGGTCGCGCCCTGCCCCCTCAGGTGCGCGGGTGGGAAGAGAGAATCGCTGGTGGACTGGGGGAGAGTCCCAGGTACTGGGGTGTCGCCTAACTGAGATTTAGCTTTGGGGAATTCGGGGCCAGGACGTTGTGGAAACAGGTGGCTCTGATTGGGGGCGGGGCACCCCTGAGAGCTGGGCAGCCCCGCGGAGGTTCCGGGACTCGGAGGGGGCGAGTCTGCGGAGGGAGGGGCTACCGGCCTGCAATGGGCGGACCCCGCACCTGCAGCCCTTGGCCCGGGGCCATGGGAGGGTCTACGGCAGAGAGGGAGGAGCTCGCTCGTCGGCCAGCTGGCTTGAGGCAGGTCCACTGAGCCCCAGATCCTGGGGCAAAGGACTCAGCCAGGACCGGAGGAATTCTCCCACCCGGCCAGGCCTGCAACCGGCGATTCCAAGACCCGTCCCCAACTCCAGGACCTGTCCAGCTCTTCCAGCGCTGACAACTCCCTCCCCCAAGCTGCCCCTCCTCAGCTTCCACGATCCTCCACTCCATTGGCCATCACACACTCTTCCATAGCTGCTGCCTCCCAGATGGTCCGTCCCCAGCTCGTGCTCTCCGGCACTGGGCTCCTCTGGAGGCCCCATTCTCTAGCTCCCGGGGACAGCCCCCACAGGCCCTGAGCCAGCGTCACGTCACCTGTCACACCTGTGCCTGCAGCATTGCCCCGAGTGGGCGTGAGCTGTACAGCCCCACAGCCTCTTCTCCCTGGACCTCCCCAAACCTCTCACCTTCCGACTGTGCAGGAAGGCCCCTCCGCTCCCTCCCGGCCCCACCCGGCCCCAGTCGGCCCCCACACTCACACCTCACTCTCTCCCTGCCTTTCTTCTTCCCCATTATTTCTGAGCTCTGCTCAGGCCCCGACTTCTCCTTGGCTTCCCAGCATCCAGCGGCCCAGAATTCCACTGCCATGGCCAGCCCTGGGAAGCCTGGGGCTGGGGAAGCCCAGGAGGAGGAGAGGGTGGAAGAGGGGGGATCCGTGGGCCCGCGGGAGGCAGTGCTGGAGCAGGCCCGGGAACTGTTTCTGCTGTGTGACAAGGAGGCCAAGGGCTTCATCACCCGGGCCGACCTGCAGGTGAGTCCCAGCCCCAAGAGGCTGCCCTCCCCTCAGACTGCCCTTGGCAACTCAGCCCTGCCATCCTTGCCTGGCCAGGGTCTGCAGAGCGACTTGGCCCTCACACCTGAACAGCTAGAGGCCGTGTTTGAAAGTCTGGACCAGGCCCACACAGGCTTCCTCACCGCTTGGGAGTTCTGTCTCGGCTTGGGTGAGCTCAGACCTTGATCGAACCCCTCCCCCAGACCCATACTGGCACGAGTGGGATTCTGGGCCCACAATACACAGACAATAGTCTTTCCATTGCCTCCCTCTGGAGCACACACAGGTGCAACGGGAAGCCCCCCTCCCTAAGGCTTGTATGGAGCTGCCCCTCCTGCCCCTCACCTTCTCGCCCTGTGCCAAACCCAGGTGGGGCTGGGATCCAGGCATGCCCCAGTCTGGCCCACAGCCCTCACCCGCCCTCTGCAATGCAGACAGCTCCCAGCATGGAAGCTTGGCCGTCACCTCCCATTCCCAGGCCAAGAACTGGACAGAATAAGGAAGAAAAACAGGAAATTAGGCCCAGAGAAAGGGCTGTGTGTGTGTGTGCGCGTGTGTGTGGAAGTGGGCGGGGTGGGGTTGGAGAGTGGGCGCCAAGCCTGGGTGGTACCCCACAGCCCTGCTAATCTTTCCCCGCCATGCCCACAGGGAAGTTTGTCGGGGTGGAATCAGCCCAGGGCTCACTGCCTTCCCGGGCTCCCGAGGAAACCTTTGAGTCTGGCTGGTCCACTGTGCAAGGCCCGCCAGGCTCCCTGGAGGAGGAGGAGGAAGAGGAGGAGGGGTTCTGCACCGCGCTGGAGCAGCTCGGGGTGGCCCCGGTGCTGGCCGAGTGAGTCTGTGCGGGATGGCTCACTGTTCCCCCTGCTAGCTCTCCCTCTACATGCTGCCTGTCCACGTCGCCCGCCTGTCAATCCCCGCGCAGCGTCCCTAGGCGGGATCTGGCCCAGTCCTTCCCTCTTAGCTGGGACACCTGGGAGGAGCCGGGCGTGATTTCCCGCAGAATTTGCATTTCAGGCAACAGCGGTCCCGGCAGCGGGGAGGAGGGGCGGCACACGATCATGTACACACCGACGTATCCCCACTCACACACACAGCTCGCTGCCACTCAAGCCCAGGCAGAGGCGAGAGCACACACAAGAGGGGTGGCTAGCATGCGGCAAAGGCGCCTGGCTTGTCCGGGGCTGGGGATCTTGAGAGACCTACCGGTCGGGATGGGGCGGGAGCCCCCGCTTCAGCTTCAGCCCTTGCCTGCCCTATCCAGGCAGCCCGCGGTGCGGAAGCTCTGGACCCGGCTGCAGCGCGAGCGACCCGAGCTACTGGGCTCCTTCGAGGACGTTCTGATGCGGGCGTCGGCCTGCCTGGAGGAGGCGGCCCGAGAGCGGGTCGGCCTTGAGCAGGCGCTGCGGCGGTGAGAGCTGGGGTCCTTCGGCGAGACTCGGCGAGACTGCCCAGAGGGGCTGGGGGCTGGGCGGGTGAAAGCAGCTCTCTCCCCGGCCTGCGTTCCCTAAGGCGGGACTGCGAGCACGACAGGGAAGTGCGGACTTTGTACGAGGAGATGGAGCAGCAGCTTCGCGAGCAGCGCCTGCGCCTGCGGAGTCAGGTGGGCCCGAAGCGCCCCCGCCCCCCAGACGGGCCCAGACCTAGATGCGCGCGTCTCCTTGACTCAGCCTTCTCGGAATTGGTCCCACCCCCGGCCCCTGCCCCTCCGCGGCTCGTGGAGGCTCAGGTGCCCCGGCGCGTCCCAGGACCTCCCCCGGGAGGAGCGGAGAGGCCGCCTGGAGCGGGAGCTGCAGAGCCGCCAGCAAGAGCTGGAGCGTGCAGGCCTGCGGCAGCGGGAGGTAAGCGCGGAGGGCCGCAGACCCGCCCAACCCCTGCTCCGCTCTTTCCGTCAGGCGTGCACTACCCGGTTTCTTGAGGTCCTTTGTGCCTCGGTGTCCCCATCCCCAGAATAGCTGGGTGACAGGGGCAAACGCAGGCTTCCGGGAAAGACCTCTTCAGCTCGATTGTCTCCCTCGCCCCAGTTGGAACAGCAGCTGCAGGCCCGCGCCGCTGAGCAACTGGAGGCGCAGGCGCAGAACGCCCAGCTGTGGCTGGCCAATGAGGCCCTGCGGACGCAGCTGGAAAACGCGCAGGAGCAGCTCCGCAGACTGGAGGAAGACGTGCAGGGCCGGCAGAAGCAAACCCAACGGTGCCCGGGGGCGGGGCGGGGCAGGGGTCGCTCTGGGTTCAGGTCGGGTCCACTTCCATCCCCATCCCACGTCCCAGCCCCGCCACCAGGGTCTGCGTGGGGCCGGGTCTTCTAGGGGGTCGTCGGTTGCCCAGAAGCCTCCCTGCATCCCTCCCGCAGAGACGTGGTTGCGGTATCGAGGAACATGCAGAAGGAGAAGCGCAGTCTCCTGCGGCAGCTGGAGCTCCTCAGGTGTGGGAGGGGAGGGGATCAGCGCAGCTCGCTAGCCCAGTGTGAGGAAGTCCTTCCTTGGGTCTGCCCTCCGTCCCTCGTGCTGCAGCCCCAGCCAGACACCTACCTTCTGGGCTGAGCGAGAGCCACAGCCAGCATTCCTTCCAGGAATGCTGCTGTGGAGATCTCTTAGAGCCCTTGGACTCTTCTCCAGGGAGCTGAACATGCGGCTACGAGACGACAGGGATGTCTGTGAGGCCAAGCGACTGGGCAGTGACCACAGGAAGGCTCTGGCTACGGTCTGCCCACGGGGGCCAGCCTGCTGCTGCTGGGTTCACCCCCCTCAGACTCAGCTCTGGCCACCTCACCAGTGCCCGATGACCAGCCCCGAGTGACTCACTGGGCGTCAGGTGGAGAAATGTCTGGTGAAGTCCACTCGTCATGGCTGGGTGCTGCCCACCCAGGATGTGGGCCCTACCCAGTGGACTGCCTGGCCTGCTTGCCCGCAGTCATGAAAGAACTAACCCTGTGTGTTCTTATATGCCCCTGCAGGTCCCCATCCTCTCCCCATTCCATCAAACCCTTCTCTGCCCAGCAGAAAGCCTTCCTCCAAATAAAGTCCATTGATACATTGTGACCTCCTCATCGTCCTGTGTGTGTGAGCCACAGCGTTTATGTGGCACACATATGAGGTGTCTCTGGTCCACGCATGGCATGTGTGTGGTACATGAATGGTCCAGATCCATGACTCTGCTGTGCTGGGGCTATGGGTGTCCCTGTGTGACCTTGTCATGCCCCCAAGTCCTCACAGTCCATCAAATCTGCCCCTCAGAGCCCTCTATAGGGGAAATGGGGCTGAGGCCCATTGTCTGCTCCTAGCCTCAGTGGGCCACCCCTTCCCCATGCCAGCCTTCACACAGCCCTGGGTGAGCCAGCTCGTCCACCAGAGTCGGGCCAGTCCTAAGTGGAGCTACCTTCCATACAACCTTCCTCGGCCCACCGGGAGAGCTAGGAGTTGGGGACAATGCTCCTCTGTCAATGGGGAGCTGCTTCACCTGAATGCAGACTGTCTGGAGCTGGGGGTGAGCCTGATGGGTGGGGAGTCCCCTCCCACTTCTACCTCGCCCCTCAGCTCCCAGTACAGCGGGTAGCAGGCTCGCTTTTCTGCTGCACCCTTTTCCACCACTCCCAGGCTCAGTGCCTACCAGGCTGGGCTCTGGCAAGCACCTTATGCCTTCCTCCAGGCCATCCACGCTGCACGCTAAGGTCTCTTTTCTTCATCTGACTAAGCCATCTGACTAAGCTTCATCTGACTACACCTTGCCCCACGGCTGGCATCTGTTCTGCCGACCCCTGCGGCTCAGGTGGCCTCTGGGTTGGAGAAGCGCCGGGTCTCGGACACAGTCCAAGGCTTCGGCTAGGCTGGCCGCGGCCTCTCCCGCCCCGAGACCAGCTCCTCCGTCCCCGAGGAGGTGAGCGCCCCGGGCGCCTCCGCATTCCCGGGCGGATCCCAGCGCGGGCACCTGCGGGCGTCGCGGCCGCGCTGCGCAGACCCGCGAGGCATCTGCCGGCGTGGGCGTGGCGAGAGTTTTGGGGGCTGATGTGGGCGGGGCCGACGGGCTTTGGGAGGGAGTGGGCGTGGTCTTCTGGCCTGGGTGGGCGGGGCCGGGCGGGGCAGGCCGCGCAGTCGCCGCTCCCGCTCGCGCAGCCGCCGCCACCGCCTGGCCGACTCCCACGCCAGCCTGGTAAGTACGCTGTCTAGCCAGGCCCGCCGAGGGCACCGGGCGCGCGGGGCCCTGCGCGGCGCGGCCCGAGGCAGGCAGCAGCTCCGGAGGCCCGGGAGGACGGGCCCGCCGACCCAGCCGCAGCCCCCGCAGGCCCTCTCGGAGGGAGCCGGATCGCTAGAGGCCCGGTGGCGGAGGGGCGCAGGCGGGTAGGCGCCTCCCCTCTCAGCCTTCGGGCAGCCCAGGGCCCAAGGAGAGCCCCGCTCCCTGTGCCTGGACCCGGTGCGGGCCCCTCCCCGGGCCTGGCTGAGCGGGTAGGGCCCGCCGTGGGGCGCGCGGGCCGCCGGGGGCCGGGCTGGAGGTGCAGGAGCGGGGGTGGGCAGCGCTGTCCAGCCCAGGAGCTATTTCTGGCCGGCCCTTCTGGAAAGAGGGCCCCTACCCAGCCGGCCGCCCGCGGGGCGCCGTGGGGGCTGAATCTGCGTCGGCCCTGGGTCGCTTGTGCGGCGCGCGGGGCCTCCACTCCGCCAGCTCCCGGGTGGGCTCTGCGCCCGTTTTCTTCCCAGGCGGCCCCTTCCGCTGGTGGGGGAGGAGCAGTGGCCAGGCCCAGGGTGGGGCGCCTGGAGAAAGCGTGTGCGTCCTCCCCACATCGCACTATCCAGAAATGCTTTCTGCCCTGCACTGTGCCACCCTCACCCAGCCCAAAATACTGGGCCTGGATGCTCCCTCTTCTGCTGCTGGGAGTGTACGCTGCCTGCTCTGAAAGCGCGGCTGGAATCCACTTCCTGGGGCTGCCACAAGGAGGGGTGGCAGGAGCTTTCCCCTCCAGCTGGGCCAGGCCTGTGACCAGTCCCTGCCCTTCTAGTGGAGCCTCCTGGGGAACTATCACCTGCCTGCCTTACAGAGCCGCTGTCCCTGCCAGCCAGGTGAGTGCTGGGTGGGGCCTCTGGGCAGTGCTGTGCTGTCTGGAAGTGTGGCCCTGGGCGCTCATGCTGTCTGGGCCCACAGCCCTCACCCGCCCTCTGCAATGCAGACAGCTCCCAGCATGGAAGGCAGGGCGTCTCTGGCTGCCTCTGGGAGGAGCACCACCTGTAGCTGCCCGACTAGCTAGGGCTGGTGTGGCTATCCCCTTTCCGGAGTGAGGTCCAGGAGAGGAAGAATCCCCGGGTCTGGGAGGTGTGTCTGCTGGCGCTACCTGCCCAGACCCTCCATTCTCCCCACCCTGGCTGGGAGGAAGGAAGGCCTCCCTTTAACAAAAGACAACAGGCTTCCCTGAAGCCACAGCTAGTAAGGGGCAGGTCAGTCTGTCTCTGAGTGGCCTCCTCCCATCCAGCAGCTGGTAGGTTCCTGCCAGCCTGTGACGTGTTGCCTGGGGAATGCTGGGGTGGGGTGGGCAGGGGGTGGGAGGGGCCTGCATGAGCTCACCCCAAGGTGGCTGCTGGGGCTTCCTACCCTGCCTGCCAGTGGGGATGAGTCATCCGCGGATGGCTGGGGTCCTCCTTGCCACTGTGCCCTGGGCTCTGGTCAGGGAAGCCAGGCTCTCCAGCCTTCCAGGAGCCTGGCCTTCAGCTTGGTGCTGGGCACCAGTCGTCTGCCCTTGCTTCACGAGGGTGGGAGCTACCCTCCAAGGAAGCGTCCTGGTTCCCGGGGTACTCTCCCAGGGCCTTCACCCAGGGCTGACCGGGGCATCTGCATCCCCTCCTGTCCCAGGGGTATCTGGCTGTCCTCCCGGGCAGGCCCTGGCATTGTGGGCCCTCTGATCCCTCTCCTCCCTAGGATGGGTGAGTTCAATGAGAAGGCGACATGTGGTACCGTCTGCCTCAAGTACTTGCTCTTCACGTTCAACTGCTGCTTCTGGGTGAGAAGTGCCCCCACCCCTGTCCTGCCTTCACTCCCATCCCTGCTCTGGGAAGGAGCCTGGCAGGGGCTCAGATGGAACCAGTGTGCACTGCCCACAGCTGGCTGGACTCGCTGTCATGGCAGTGGGCATCTGGACCCTGGCCCTCAAGAGTGACTACATCAGCCTGCTGGCCTCAGGCACCTACCTGGCCACAGCTTACATCCTGGTGGTGGCTGGTGTCGTTGTCATGGTGACCGGTGTCCTGGGCTGCTGTGCCACCTTCAAGGAGCGGCGGAACCTGCTGCGCCTGGTCAGCAGGGTGTGGGTTGGGGGACAGATGAAGGCGCTGGGAGAGGGGCTCCCCACCTGCAGCCTGGGTTGGCTCTGAGGAGGGGAGGGATGGGCTTGAGTGACACTGCACTGTGCTTTCCCTGCGGTGTCCCTCCCACCTGCACATCGGTTCTGAGGGAAATCTTCCAGGAGTGGGGCAGGCTGTCAGCCCCCACCTGCTGCCTGAGCCCTCTCTCTGTAGCCACTAGGAAGCCAAGGGTGGGGGCTCTGCTCTGTAGTCCCTGGACACCAGGCATCCCCAGGTACTGAGGGGGGGTCTGTAGCCCACCCCGCCTCACTGAACCCCTGTCCCCTCAGTACTTTGTCCTGCTTCTCATCATCTTTTTGCTGGAGATCATTGCTGGCATCCTGGCCTACATCTACTACCAGCAGGTGAGGGGTCTGGGCAAGCCATGTGGGGGCACGCATATGCAGCAAGATGGATACACACCTGGGACTACACACAGATATATACACTCGGGACGTGGACACTTGCACACAGGAACACATACATGAGAGAACACGGACACGTGTATACACATACATATAGTGGGAAGGATACACATATGCAGAGGCGCACATGATGCCCTCTGCTCCAGAGCTGACCACTGTGCTGGCAGGCCCTGGAGGTGGGGCTGGGCCCCAGGGGAGGGTGAACCTCCTGCTTAGAACCCTCTGCCACCTCTCTATACCTGCCCCCACTCTGCCCCACCTTGGAGGGCCTTAGACTCTGCAGCTGAAGCTCTCACCACCTCACCCCTAGCTGAATGCAGAGCTCAAGGAGAACCTGAAGGGAACCATGTCCAAGCAGTACCACCAGCCGGGCTACGAGGGTGTGACCAGCGCTGTGGACAAGCTGCAGCAGGAGGTTGGTTAGGAGCAGTGGGCGGCAGTGTGTGCCTCCCTGTTGGCCTCCCAGACCCCTGTGAGAGTCCCATTGAGGGCGGGGGCTCAGCCCTGGCTGTGTTCCCACTGCAGTTCCATTGCTGTGGTAGCAACAACTGGCAGGACTGGCAGGACAGTGAGTGGGTCCGCTCGGGCCAGGCGAAAGGCCACGTGGTCCCCGACAGCTGCTGCAAGACCGTGGTGGCGGGCTGCGGGGAGCGGGACCACGCCTCCAACATCTACAAGGTGGAGGTAGGCTGGCTGGGCTGTGGCTGTGGCGGTTCAGGGCTGGAGGGCCCGCCGCCTTCAGCGTCCCACATGCACCCTGCCAGGGAGGCTGCATCACCAAGCTGGAGACCTTCATCCAGGAGCACCTGAGGGTCATCGGGGCCGTGGGCATCGGCATCGCCTGTGTGCAGGTGCGGGCGGGCAGTGGGGCAGGCTGGGCCGGGGCATGGGGTGCCACAGGATGGCTGGAGCCTGTGGTCTGCTTGCCTGGTCTGCCCTGCAGGTTTTTGGCATGATCTTCACATGCTGCCTCTACAAGAGCCTGAAGTTGGAGCACTACTGACCCTGCCCACACTTCTCATGCCTGTGGGCCCCCACCCTGCCATCACAGTCACCTCTGGAGACCCCCATCCCCAGAGGGTGCTTCAAGTGCCTTTTGCTGCACACCAAAGTCCTATGGCCAGTCCTCTCTGGCAGCCAGGACAGTACCTCTGCCAGTGGGTGGGGCTGGCTGGGGTCCTGGCCTGCCTTTGGGGGTGAGGGACTGGAGCTTTGGGATGCTCCCTGATGTCTGTGCAGAGGGGCTGGCCCACCCAAGGTACCCCCAGGCCCCCAGACACCATGGGCAGTGGCCAGGGGCAGGACAGGAAGACCACTCGTAGGTAGGGAGGTGCAAGGGGTTGCCGAGTCAGTCCTGCCCAGGAGCCTCGAGCATCTACAGCCTTTCTGAGTGGCCCTGCTCCCCTGGGAAAGGTCAGACGGCGCTGTCCTGAGGGTCCTCTGCCCCTGCCTCCCGACCCAGGCTTCTGCTGCTCCCAAGCCCCTGCTGTTTTAATGCTGTTCCCACCACCACGTAAAAGGCCCCATGTCTACTTCTTTGCGTCTCCCCTGCCCAGGAGTGGGGATTTTTTCACTGCTGTCACGTAAGAGCAGTACCACCAGCTGGGCCACTGGCTGGAACTGCTCCTGCCACTAAGAGGTGCACAATAAACGTCTATGGAACTAAGGAACTTGCTATGTTTAATAATACATGGCTCTGGTCCTCAGGGCCTCCACATCCAACAGGGTGGACCGACTTGCCACCCAGTGCCACCAAGAGTGGGAGCCAGGAGGGCACACAGGGCATCCCAGGCAGCCAGGTGTGAAATGCACACAGACAGGATGCAAGGAGGCCAGTGGCAGGGACAGTCCCACACAGGCCACAGAGCAGGACTGTGCCCACTCTTGGAGAGTGGTGGGGGGACCAGAGCTCCACAGGGCAAAGAGAGATAAACCTCCAATAGCCTGGCCAGCTTATGGTTTCCAAAGACCAACCCAGTTACTGTGTAGGTACCAGGTACAGGGGACAGAGGGGGTAAGGGCGGAGCATGGTGATCCAACAGTGAGAAAGGTGGGTGCACAGCCCACACTCTGAGCAGGTGTGTGCTGGCACTGGGAGCCAGGCTGAAGAAAGTACTAGGTCTGCAGAGGCTGCCAGGGCCTGGCCACTGTGTCCCTCTGCTCTGGGTCACCCAGCTCCTGTCCCCAAGGCTTGGGCTATCTGTCCCAGGGGCATACCCATCTTCCCTCAGCCAGGCTCCTAGCTCTGAGGAAGGTGCCTGAAATAGGCTGCCTCCCTCCCACCTAAGGGCACCCTCCTGCCTTCTGCCCACTGGAGGGTACCAGGGCCTGCCTGACCCCTGCCCAGGATGACAGCTTCCAGCGGGAAGCTTCAGCTGCAACAGAGGCCCCAAGGAGACAGGTCTTGGACAGCCCATGGGATTAAGTGCTAATGCCCAGGCACTGGGTGCTTAACCAGCCTGATGTCCGGCACAGCTTCCTGAGGGCTACTACCTACCTGCTGCATGGGGGTCTCAGGGCTGGTTGTGGAACCTGGGCACTGCCCCTCCCCCTCTTCAGGAACTTAGCCAAGATGTGGAGCCTGGAGGCTTCTGGCAGGAGCCTCAGAGCGGGCAGCCATGACCACAGCCAGCACTCCATTTAGGGGCCAGAAAACCTGTTCTTCAGATCCTGGGAGAGGATTTGAGCATCTCTGTGCTCCACCTAAAGAGCACCAAAACATCGGTGTTGGGATGCCAGAGCCCCTGGACCCCCACCCACATCACATGCTCTTGGTGTCTGTGCTATTTGGGCTGTGAGTGCACACCCCAAGGGAGACCCCCCCAGGCTGAGTGGTGGCCTCTCCTCCTGGGCACTGAGGGCCGAGTTCACGCCCCCGACGGCATGGCCTCAGGCAAGAGGCAAGACTGAGAAAAACGGGTGAAAGGAGTCTCACAAAGCCAGCCAACTGTCAGGACGTCACAGTTCTGCAAAGACCTTTACTGGGTGGTTCCTTCCACAGCGGGAGACATGCCCACATAACTGTGGGCAGGCATGTCTCCCAGCTACCCACACCTCGTGGGATGAACTCTGGGTAGGACGCTGCCTGCCATGGCCAGCACAGTCACTTCTCCAGAGGTGCATAGTTGAGCAGCTTCTCAATCAGGTCCACGTGAGCCAGCAGCATGCGGCGACAGCAGTAACGCTTCAGGCCAAGGGCATCCAGGGCGTCCCTGTGCGGGAGAGAGCGGTCCCGGTGAATGAGCAAGCCCCACTCGGCTGTTGTGGGATTTTTCCCTCTGCTCTGTGCCCCATGCCAGGGACTGAGACTTCTCCTGGGAGCCACTTCGCTCATTTTCCAAACCACCTAGAGTTCTTAATTTCCTTGGGACGCAGGAAGGCCTCCAGAAAATTCTTAAACGTGCAGATGCGGCAGCTTGGGAAGTGGAGGCCAGGTTTGGAGGTCCCTGCCCGCGGCACGTCATGCCGAGGGTCACATGCAGGCTACAAGCCATTCACTGGCACCCTGGTCGTTCTAACAGTCTCCTCACGGCCAAACAGCCCATCCATGGCTTCCCCTTCATCCAGGCACCAGGAGTTCAAGTGTGATCAGGTTTCGGGCTACCTACACAGGGGCCAAGGGGCAGCCACTGGTGAGAAAGGGAGATTCAGACAGGCATAGTGGTAACTGCAGGGTGGGCAAGGGCAGGAAAGGGGCCCCCACGGCAGCCTGATAATGACAGCTGCGGGGTCAGAAGCTCGCCCTGTGTCCTAACGGCAAGCGGGTTGCAGGACACAGTGGGCCCAAGAGCAGAGAGAGGTTAGGGACCAGGTGGACAGGAAGGAGGCTAAGCACGTAATGGTCGGCTACCTAACAGAAGGACCGCAGTCTGGAAGTCCCCCGAACACCAGGGGTTTGATACCCAGCTCCTCCCTCTCCTCTCCCCAGACTGGGGGAGGAAATACTGTCCTGAGAACTGGTCAGGAGGGCAGCGCTGGAAGGGACCCCGGGACTGAGACCCCTCCAGGATCGGCTGGAATCTGATGTGTGCCCCGCCTGCCCCCCAGGCTGGGGCTCTCGACTTCAGCCCCCAGTCCTCCAACCCCAGCCCCACGTGTGGCAGGCAGCGCAGCAGGACCCTTGCCTCCGCCCGCCCGCGCTGGCCGGGACCGCCGGCCCTGTCCCCCAGCCTCTCAGGCCGGAGACGCGGGGAGCACCTCACCCCTCGGTGTACTCGGCCTGCAGCAGCCCCAGGTAGGCCTCCCACTTGTTGCCCACGATCTTGCCGCAGGTGAAGCAGCGTACGGGGATGATCATGGCGGCGGCGGCGGCAGCGGCGGCGGCTCCTAGGTCCTGGAGGCGCTTCCGCCAGCGGCACCTGCCCCGCCCCGGGCGCGCCCACGCGCGGGGGGCACGCCCGCCCCTGGCCACCCGCCCGCCCTTCACCGTGGCGCGGTCGGACTCCGCTTCCCGCCACGACGGTATTCCTGGCGCAGGCCGGGGTCCCGGGGCCCGCACGGCCGCGGCGGGAGCAGAAGACGCCCCCCGCCCGCTTGCTTTGGTATGTTCCGGGCGACGGCGTCCGAGCGGGGCCGTAAAAAGGCAGCGGCGGCGCTTCGCGGTCCTCGTGTCCGCGTGACTGATAGCTGCGCGGCGGGCGGACCGCGGGCAGGTAGCAGCCCGCGGAGCCGAGGCGGGGCGGAGCCGAACCGAGCTCGGAGGCCGAGCCAAGCCGCAGCAACAAGTGGCACGGCCCGGGGTGGGCGGCCGCGGGGCGGTCTTCCCGCCGTCCCTCCGAGCTGGCCGGGACGGGGGTCTCTTCGCGGGTGCCCAGGGTCTCCGCGGCTGAGTTGGGGTCTCATTCTCGGCCGCCGCCCGGCTGCTTGCCCGCGCGCCATCGGTCCGGCAGTGTGGTTACCCGCAGCCCCGACGGCGCTTCGATCCGCTTTGGCCGCGGATGGGCTGGAAGGGAGCGCGGGGTGCTGGGTGGCCCGCCACCTGGGGGCGTGAGGCCCCGGAGGACTCGGGAGGGGGCCGCGGTGGTCAGGTCAGGGAGGGCGTCGTGGAAGACGTGCCTTTTGAACGGGACCTTGAAAAGCACAGGACTTCACTAGCGGCGAGCCTGGCAGGGAGGAGACCTTGGAGTACCTGCAGTATCCCAGGGCGATGGGTTTGGAGCCCGAGTAGGTGGTGGAGCCACAGAAGATTTAAAGGGTGGGGAGGGCCTGTCTCTGGAAATGGGATGGGGTGAGTCTGGTGACCGCAGGGCTGGAGCTGGGGGGCAGGCAGTGTGCACACAAGGCAGGGAAGACTGCGGGGGACATGAGATTTGGGCTGTGGGTGGACCTGTTGCAAAGTGGCACCTGTGGTTGAGGCCAGCGCTGCTCTGGTGCATTTGCTGGCTGGGGCGTCTGGATCTCTGGGTCGGGTGGGTAGGGCCTGTGTTGGATCCCAAACCTCAGCTAACTGCCCTCTCAGGGTTCATGATGGATTCTGGCCTTAGTTGAGGGTAGGGAGATGGAGAGTCCTCTGGGTCCTGGTTGGGGCTGCTGCCAGCCTAGAGTTTGTGCCCCTACCTTCACCTGGGCCCTGGACCGCCTCCTCAGTGTCATTTGCCACCCTGCCACATGCACAGCCACAAGCCAAGGCCACTTCCCTTCCTCTGTCCCACCCCCTAGGCTGACTGGGCACACATCCTGTCCTAGGCCAGAGGGCCAGGATAGGGGGCATTGAGTCACAGTGGCCTAGGGTCAGACCCACGCAGAGGCTGCCGGCTGCTGTGGAGGTGAGGGAGACGGGGAGGGGATCTGGGGTATCAGCTGCGTGGCTTCAGAGTGGGTTGGGGTGGAAGGCTTCCTGGAGGAGGGGCTCAGGCCTGCCCACTCGTGCTCCCACCCCCTCCTGGAGCAGTTGTTTACTCCCTGAGAGTTGAGGAATGAGCCTCCTGCCTTGATCTCTGCCACAGCCAAGTTAACATTCCTGAAATTCTGAGTTTGGGGGCGGGGACGGCCGCCTCTTCCCAGGCTCCGCCCTCCAGCTCCCTGATTTCCCAGCAGAGGCCACGGGGAGCAGTGTGGCTGTCCCTGTGCCAGCCCGTGTGCATGCCCCCAACAAACGTGTGCCCCTTGGGGCACTCCATCCTGCCATCTGGACCCTGCTGAGGCCCCGGTGGCCATGTCCCTCTGTGAGTGTTCTGGGGGGCACGGGCTGGGATGTGGGCCAGGCTCTCCTCAGGGAGGGCACAGGCAGGAGGGAGCCGTAGGGCCCAGGGCACTAGTGGGGGTGGGGGTGGGGCTGTGCTTGCCTGCACGGGTGGGGAGCCCTGCTTCGCCCCTGCGTGTAGAGTCAGAAGAGATGTGGCCCAGGCCTCTGGGGACGCTGGAAATGGGGCAGGGAGAGGGACGGGCTGGTTTGCTGAGATGTCCTGCTCCCAGGGCACGAGGAGGGAGGGCTGTGCTCACATGTGGTTTGAAACCCGTGAGCCTCGTTTCCTGTCAGAGGAGGGTCACTTCAGGGCAGGCAGGGGAAGGGGAAATTAGCAATGGAAGTTTTAGGCACTGAGACCCTGTGGCTCTGAGCATTGTCCTGGAAAGAGGCTGGCCACAGGGGCAGTGGGCCTGGGAGTCAGCTGACCCTGCCCCAGTCTTGGGTAATAGCCTGTCTGTCCAGATCCATAAAATTTGGGTGGAGCCAGAAGCTGGCCAGCTGGAGGGTCCTGATCCTAGCAGTGCAGGTACGGGGGTCCCAGGCTCAGCCCCCAGCCCTGCATGCTCACCAGTGTGCAGTGGTGTGGTCTATGAACACCCATGCTCAGATGCCTCGCCAGGGTCAGACAAGGCCATCCACCTGCTGCTCCCACACTAGCCTTAGCCCTAGGGCCCGGGGGACTGTGGGTGGTGACAGTTCCCAGTGTGCTCGAGGCTGAGCTGGCCCTACCCTATGAGCCTCTGACACAGCTGGGCTGTTGGTGTTGGGGAATGTCACCATCTGCCAGCCTGCTGCCTGGGCATACTGTTGGCACCTGTGGTGGGATGGTCCCAGGGCCTGCAGTTGGTATCAGGGCACCCTCCAGGTCCTAATTGTGTTCCCTTTGAGGTAGGAGGAGGAGCAGGGGTAGGTAAAGGCCCTGATCTTGGGGTTGGCCTCTTCTGGTTTGGGTAGAGGTTGGGGACCCCCCATCCTGTGTGTGTGGAAGGGGGTGCCAGCCTGCCTGGGCTGGGCGTTTGTGAGCCCCTCTGCCGAGGTAGGGGCCTGGGTGGGCACTGAAGTAGGAGCAGGCCTGTGTTGGTGGGGCCCTCCCAGCCCCTCAACGCTGCCTCACAGTGGCCAGGCCTGTGAGCTGGGCTGCAGAGCTTCACTCCACTCCGTTCTCCACCCTGAGATGCCCCTGCTGGGCTGTGAGCTCCCCAGAGAGCCCCTGCTGCTCCACTGCTGGGGCTCAGTGGGCCACGCCATGGGCAGCTGCCAGGGGCCCCAGGCCTCCAGGTTCATGGCTGGCAAGCTTTTCTGCATCTCAGGAGGCCCCTCTTTGAGCGAACCTTGGTCTGGCCAGGTAGGTGCCCACTGCCTCCTTGTGGCTTGACCACCCCAGTGGTTGACCCTGGGGCTAGAAGGCCCAGCTTGGGGCTGGCAGCCTGTGGGTGTGTCTGTCTGGGGGCTCTCTCAGATCTATCTGTGGGAGAGAGGGCGTTGCAGGCGTGTGGGTCCCTCCACTCAGAGGCAGCCCAGAGTGGGGAATGGGCAGGGAGGCTTCCTGGAGGTGGAGGCTGGGCCTGGTGAGTATGGGGAGCCAGCCCCAACCCTGTCCATACCTGCACCCATGCCCAACTTCAGGGTTGTGTCTGGGCTGCCCAGTGTGCATGGGTTTGTAGAGGTGCACTGTGGGGCCAGAAGGGCTGGAGGTCATTTACGGAGGGTCCAGGGGCTTCCTTGGGGCCTGGGGCTGGAAGCGTGGCTGGGCAGTGGTCTTGTCCAGGCTCAGTGTTGGCCACAGGCCTTCCTGCTATGTAGGAGCCCAGTAGGACTGGGGGGTCATGAGGGGTGCTGGTAGATCTGCCCTTTAGGGCCTTCCTGGGAGGCCCAGTTCCCTAGTGCCCAGGTGTGGGGGTATGGGGCCCACAGATCCAGGCTCAGGCCTGTGTTGGTGGTGGGGAGTGATACATGCTGTTAGCTTCTGGAACGCTGTGGGCTTTGGACCCCTCAGCTCCTGGGGAAGGATGCATCCCTCCACCATGTGGTCCATGACACTTCACTGGGCCTGAAAACCCCTCCATGGGTGCTTCATCCTTGGACACAGTGATTGCTGACGGGTGGGGATGGGGTCCCAGGGTCCTGGGCTTGGGATATCCTCCCTCTATGTGATGGGTGTTGTTCATACCTTCTGAGTTCAGGAAGGACAAGTCTCAGGTCACCTGCAGGGAGAAGCTGCGACTTGACCTGGTCAGTGGCCTCCTGTCCACCCAGGTGTGGGTTGGAGTGGCTCAGCAGGCAGTGAGCTTCCCATGGTGGGGTGACACCTGCCAGAGTGGGTCTGTCTCTGAGCCTCTGCAGCTCCCTCCCCTTGGGCTGCTGGGAGCACCCTGGTCTGGGGCAAGGTGTGGGGGCCTCTCCCCCAAATCCCTGGCTGGTGTGGGGGGGACAGAATCCCCCGTGAGTGCCAATGGCCAATGAGTGGCCCTTGTGGTCACTGGCTGGCTCTGTGGGGAGAGCATGTGGTTGGTGGCTGAGGGCATAGTCTTCCCAGAGCTGAGGAGGGCATGGGATGAAGGGCATCTTGGGGGAAGTGGACAATACTGGCTGGTCTCAGGGGTCTGGGACCTCTGGGGGCCTGGATGCCACTGTGCATCCTGTTGAACACATGGGGCTGGCTGAGTTGGGCCAGGTGGAAGGTGGCCACAGGCCACTGGGGGTCACCAATGTCTCAAGGGGTCACTGGCTACCACTTGCTCCCTGGACAGAGCTGCAGACTGCTGTCTGCAGGCGTCTGGGTGGGGGCTCTCCACTGCCTGCGTCTCCACTGGGCTCCGGCCATGGCCACTGTTGTATTTGTTTCCTGGTGCCCAGACATTGCAAAGGACCCTCAGAGGAGGACAGGGTACACAGGTCACGGGAGGCCCAGGCCAGCTGGTAGTGTAGGACAGGAACTCGGGGGCTCTCCTGTCCTGGCTCCTGGCTAGGGCCAGGGCGGCTCAGGGAGTCCCAGTGGGATGCTGCCCTGAGGCCAGAGCTGCAGTTCTCTGCGAGCCCTTGGAGAGCAGCAGAGGGCTGGTGCCAGTGGTCTTCGGCCAGCTGTCCAGACCCTGCAGACCTGTCACCTCCTGCACCACTCTGTCACCTCAGCATCACTAGTGGGCTAGCTCCCTCCATCCCTGCTCCTCTCCTCTCTGAGCTCTGCTGCCCCACTCCCAGGAAGTGGACGCAGCCAGTGGGCTGTTACGGTGATTGGGTGGGCCCCAACTCCCCTGCCTGCCCTAGTAGGGGAGTGGGCTCAGCACCCCAGGCCTCTGCGCTGCAGGCCTGGGGTCACATAGGGAGGGGGCATCTGGGCTGCCCACTATGGGACCCCATGAGACTGCTGCCCCCATCAGTGGCGTGGGCTGTGGGGCACAGCTGAGGGGGCATCTGTCCCCTTTTGTGATTGTGGGTGTATGTGTACCCCTAGGTTTTCCGCACAGCACAGTAGACGGGGCTTTGGTGCATGTCTCTGGTGTCTGTAAGCCACCCAGGGAATCTGGGCGGCTGGGGTCTTTGTCTGCATGTGTGTGTGTGGACGTGTCTGGGAGGGTGCAGGGTGTGACTTGCAGCCCCAACTGGTGCAAAATTAAATTCGTGGCTCCTTGTTAAAAATCTATCAAGAATTTCAAGAGGGCAGAAGCGCAGTATCAAACCAGCCAGGGGTCCTGTGTGATTGTGCAGGTCGCAAGACTGGGAAGCCCACCCCGCACAGAACCAGGGGATGGGGGTTGGGAGGGGGCCGGGGGTGAGCAGCCCCATCTGTCCACTCTGGCTGGGTCACGGAGCGGGTACCCCTGGGAGTTGAGATCCGGGTCTGGGCTGCCAACCTTACATGGGGCCAGTCTTCCCGTCCCTAGTGACAACTCCTGCTCTCCCGCGAGCTCGGGCCCCTCCCTTTAGGTCTGAACAACTCCCCGCTCTCCCCCCTCTTGCCCTTCCGTGGCCCCTCTCAGGGGCTTGTCCATTAAACCGCAGCACTGTCCTCTCTCCCAGCCCCCGCCACGGTTGGGTACCTCAGGCTAACTAACCCCTGTCCCAACAGGCGCCTCTCAGCTGTGAGCTGCGGGACTCTGGGGTCCCAGCGCAGCACTTTGCCCAGCCTAGGGTGGAGGAGGCTACTGAGAGAGGGCGCGCCCCAGGTCGTGTTCCGGCCACGTTCCCCCGGGGCTACCTCGCTCTGGGCCGGGGACCAAAGCCGGAGCCTCCCCAAGTGGCCGCCAGACGACAAGAGGATCAGTGCTCTGGGTATGGTGTGCGGCCGGAGGTGTCCAAGTCCGCCGTGCAGGCGCAGTGCGGCCGCGGGGAAGGCCGAGGGCACCGTTCTCGGGGCTAAGAGCTGCCCGGGCCAGGCCCCTCCAGCTCCCCCTACCCTTGGTAGCCATTTCCTCCCGCTCTGGGCGGGTGGCGGAGAGTGAGGGGCGCGGGAGCGGGCTGGGGTGCGGGGTGCGGGAGGGGCAGCGAGGAGGGGAGGTCCTGGGGGCGTGGCCTGCACAGATTGGTGGAGCGGACTGGGGGCGGTGCCGTGCCGAGGGGAGGGTCCGCGGCCCGGGGCGGCACGGATTGGCCGGGCGGCG